GGAAACTTTGTTAGTACAGTTGTTGGATGCATATGCCTCTCGAGGCCCTTCAGAGCTGGGGAAGTCAGGAAAGTTTATCACTTAGCCTCTTGTCTAATCCACCAACAGATACTGAGGTGTTTGGGAACTCAGGAGATTAATCATGGGGGTGAGGTAAGACTGCAACTTCTGTAGGTCTGAGTCCCTCACCAAGTGAGGGCCAGTGTAATTCAAGGAGCATAACACTGGCTTGGAAGGCTGGAGTTTTGGAGGTTGGCTAGTAAATTCACGCTCTGGTCCTTATTAGAGAGTGGGCACAAACTCCAGAATAAGGCAACTCCAACGTGAAACCCAATAGAATATTAACATCTTATACATTATACTTGTCAACTCAGTAATTCTGTATTTCAATTCATTTAATCACCCTCAGAATAATCACTTGAAGTGCATATTATGATTCCCACTTCATAGATGAGAAAACTAGGGTCAGCACACAGGAAATGGCCTGCCTAATGTCATACAGCTAGCTAGTAGCAGTGTTAGCCCACAAGTCAGGTTTACCAGCTCATCAGTCCAGTGTTGTCCTCACTTGACCACAGTTGAGCTAATGCATGCGCTTCTCAGCTTGCTGCCTGGCACACAGAGGACATTTGATTTGTATTTGCTTTTCCTTATTCCCTGGCCTAGAAAACTACCTGTAAATACCAAATAAAGGTTTAATCTTTTAGGGCCCTGATATTATCTCCTCAGATACTACAAACATAAACTTGGGTAGATGTTTTCTGGGTGATGTTCCAAGCTCATTTCTTTCCATTTCAATTATTGCTACCTCCCAGGCCCTCACATCTCTGCCTGCTCACTGCTACCACATCCAATCTGGGTATCTCTCCAGTTGCTGAAGCCCAAGAACCCACTTTTACCTATCATGCATGAATTGTTCCTGGGTTTATAACCTGTTCCTAACCTTATTGCCAGTCCATTTGATTGCTCATGGTCCGTTATTTTACTCCAGCCTTCAGTGCCCTGTGGGACTCTGAGTATTAATCATGTAGTTGGTGAATGAAAAAAGCCCAAGATACATGAAAGGGACTAATTTCATGGGTAAAGGAACTAAAACTTAGAAAGTTCATGTAGGCTGAAGTAGAAGAGACTGAATTAGAACCCAAGGCTCCAGATACCCTAAGGCTCTCTATTATACTCAACTGTACTGAATTTCTACTTTCAGAGTTTTATTTCTGAGACTTATTGTGCCTAAGGTCAGTATTGCACTGTTAGTTTAGAATTTTTGGTGATTTACTAGAGGTAGGCAGGCAGGGAGGCAAAAATACTGGGTTAGGAGTCAGCCTTTGGAGACTGCTCTATCTACTAACTGTACACACTTTGAAAAATCACTTAGCCTGTCTGTATCTCTACTGTTTTTTAACTGGAAAGTAAGCATAATAAAAGCTGGCCTTCTTACTGTCTAATCCTGGCCCTGGCTGTGGTTGACATTCGACTGTCTAGGTGCAATATCCAAATAAGAAAATAGATTTCAAAGATCTTTGTAAATACTGGTATGTGCTAATAGGATAATAAAAGAAAAAGTGCTTCTGTTTCAATTCTCTTGAGTCCTAAGAGTGCCTTTTTCTGTGCTGAACACATGGTAAGCCTCTCACTGGTAGAATGGGTGTGGGGAAGGAGACTTAGTTGAGATGTGTATGAGGGCATTGCCAAGTAGACATGTAGATGCCCATGGTCTATAGAGAGACATCTGCCGGGCCTGACACATGGAGCCTGGATGTCCTCAAAGGTTCACAGCTGTGTTGGGGGAGAAGTCTTACATTATAAGTTAAATAATTTTCTAACCACTATACTGTATACCTGAAACTAATATAATATTAAATGGCAACTGTAATTTAAAAGCTAAAAATATTTTAAAATAATGTTCACAGGTATGTTGAAGACTGACAACATAGGGAACACTTTCTCTAGATATGAGCTACCTGAAGTCAGGGTGGCTGGACTAAAATATCACTGGAAGTTTCTTTTAGTGCCAAGAGGCCACAAACCTATGTTTGTGGCACAGGGAATTGGGAAAAGTCTACATCACTCCCCACTAAGATTAGTCACTGCCTTTAACTGGAATATCAGAAAAGATTCAAAATTAAGCAGTAGTGCAAAGCAGTGCAAAGTTGGGGAGGAGGTGTTTCAGGGTGAGGGTGGTGTGGGAAGGAGGGTGGAATTTGAATTCCCAGGGCCAGGAGAGGGAGGAGGGGGAATGGATCCACTGGGAGAATTTTCTTAGATCGTTCAGTGTGGGTCTTAACTCCGAAGAGAAGGGATGGACAAGAAAACCAATGACAGCTTCTTATCTCTTCTAAATCACTGACTCTTGATCAAGTGAAGCCAGTGGCCTTATATTGGATGGAGAGGACAACTTACTATTTTTCTCAAAGACAAAGATGACAGAGGACACTTTGGAGGCTGGAGAGAAAACACTAGAGGACAATTTGGAGGCTGGAGAGAAAACACTACAGTCAAGTCACCTTACCCCCAAACTCCACATTTTCACCATTAACACTTAATTTTTTTCTCTCAAATCACAGAATTCAGTGAAAAACTTCAAGTGAGAGTAAGTGGAGTAGAGCCCAAAATTCCTTGGCCATTTCCTACCACTCTTCTTCATCCTGTTCCTCTCTAGAGCAGAATCACCACCTATAGCTGGGGGTTGTTCCCTGGGACCTTTTGATCCTGTACACATATACATGTCACATCATCACTTTCTAATGTACCAATATGTGCTACACACCTTTTCATGTTAATACTTTAACTTTCCTGTTTAAACAAGAGAGCCATTTACTAAAATTATTTACATGAAACATGATTTACTCGCATTTGCATAGCAGAGTTAAAAACTATTCATTTAAAAATATGAACTAAGGAAAAATGAACACGGTGTGGTGATTTATGAACACTCATTTATTATTATCATCCCACTTCTGTAATATGCCCCATGGTGAGTGGGTCTCAGTTTTTGGAGGTTACAGGATTTTGAACACTGGTGCTCTAGGCTCAGCCTCTGCTAGCCACATGCTCTCTAATTCTTTGTAAGAAGGAGACATTTCTTCCACTTCAGCTTCAAGCAGTTGTTCTTATTTTTGAGGAGAAAATACATCACAGTTCAATTGCAAAGTTGGGAAAAAATCTCCCTCTTATGTCAACTCAAGACTCTCTCTATTTCATCAGAAGAAAGTTTCTTCTTCTTTCTCCCTATTTATATCTTTACACTTCACTAACATTGAGCCCCTTAGAGTATCTCGAAATGTCTAGCAGTTTCACTGACCTCCCATGTAGAAGACAAATTTCGTTCTGTGGGTCATGCTTTCTATTATCAATTAATCCCTTGCAAGATTGCTTTATGCACTCAGCACTGTGCTGGGTGCATGGATGGCACGGCGTAACATAAAACATGATTCTTGTCTTTTAGGAGCTTATAATCTAGTTGGGGAGAGCAAAAGAAGCTGCAAGGAATACAGAAAAGATGATGCTAGTGTCTTTTTGTGTGGGTCACACTATAGGAGAGATTAAGAACAATGAATAAAAATGAAGGGATCATGAGTCACCTACAAGGAAAAGTCCTCCTTGAGTGTGAGGCTTTGGCTGAGAGAGGCAGAGTGAGTGGAGAGGCCAGAAGATATGAGGAAGGCTGGCACACCCAAAGGTCTAGATGCGATACCGTTGTAATCAGAAAGAAATCAGTAGCCCTTGAGGGATAAAATGACGCGAGACAAACATTGATTCAGGGGGTTAGAGGGGCAGCATGGGTAGCACTGAGTGGAGGAGGGGCATGGGGCTCAGAGCTGTTGTAGGTGCCCCATGGGCCTGAACGGAAAGGTAGCTATCTGCAAGCAGGCAAGAGTGTGGGTGTGAGAATCTTAGAGAGTTCTCCACAGACCCAGTGGGTGGCCGGATTTGGAGAATGACTGTGGGCACCTCCATTTGACTGGGAAATATTCTCGGACACCTTAAGGGGCCTATGCTTCCCTCCTCAAGCAATCAATAAGCCTGTTGGGGAAGGTCACTCTTCTCAGACTTCCAGCTTCTTGGCCAAGAAGTGCCCAAAATGGTTCACAAAAATATTCTAGAAATGACCACATTAAAGCATGAAACCTCTGGATTGCCTTAGTTTCACCCTTTAGGTAAATTCTTAATTTCCAGTAGTCATTCATCAGTAATTGCAAGCATTATCTCCCTCTGGTTTTCCTTTCTTAACAGTTTTCCCACCTTTACTAATTATCTGTATATATATATTAAACAGAATGCCCAATATTAACCAGTGTATTTTCCACTAAAAATAAAAACAAAACTTACTATTCTGAATGCTTCTTCTTATGGGACATAGGATGATACATTCTCATGTTTTTGGTTGGGTGAGGATGTGAGAGTCAGTGCATGCAGTGTAATGAAAATGTGTTGTTCCCATAGGTGATCGGTCAGGATGGGGACATGGATTTCTGCAACAGGTGTTTGATAACATTGCTCTGAAAAAGGTGCTGACAGGTCCCAGCACCCTGCTCCTCGGGTTGTGTCAAGCCCCAACATAATTTCACAATTCTAGGTTTATTTTCTGAAGAAGAGTCTTTAAAAACCAGACCCTATGCTCTGGTATAAATATATTTTATCTTAAGGAGAGGGCAAACTTTTTGTTTTTATTATGATCTTAAACATAATTTAATTGAACTGTCATTAAATTTAAAACACACAAAATAGTTGATTTGTGTCCCATTTCCTGGCCCACATTGTAATTTTCTCCCATCTGTCTTTAATCCATCTTCCATGAACAACTTAAATATGCTTACCTAAGCTTTAGCCTTCCTCCCCAGTCCAAGGCAAAGCGTATTCTTCCCTGGCCCAGACCATCTGCTTTCCTCCCACCCCTCACTCCACCCCTGAAACTCCCCCTTCCCACATTCAGGCCATTGGCATAAGAAAGTGTGTTTGGGGGGAGTACTCAAAAAGGGAGAGGATGTCTGGATGCCTTCTCATTTGGGGGGCCTCTTTCCCATCAGCACACTCTTCAGGGTGCCCTGAACATCAGGGTTCCAGAGGCTATAGATGAATGGGTTCAGCATGGGGCTGAGGATAGTGTTGAGGATTCCAATTCCGTTGTCCATGTCTGAGGCTGAGACTGAGCCCTAACACATGTAGCAGAAGAAGCTGGTTCCATAAAAGATACAGACTATAGTGAGGTGGGAGCCACATGTGGAGAAGGCCTTCTTCCTCCCCTCAGCAGAGTGGATTCGTAGCACTGCAACTGTGACATGGGCATAGGACACTGAGATGAGGATCATGGGGATCACCCCCATGAAGGTGGTCCCCACAAAAAGCAGTTACCCATTGAGGTAAGTGCTGGAGCAGGAGAGCTGGAAAAGGGGTGGGAGGTCACAGTAGAAGTGGTTGACTGTGTTAGGGCCACAGAAGTCCAGTGTGGACACAGCCACGGTGTGATTCAGAGCATTGGTGAAGGAGATGGTGCAGAAGATGCCCACCAGGGCACCCTGGACCTCAGTCTTCATGTTGGTGCTATGGATGAGGGGCCGGCTGATGGCCAGGTAATGGTCATAGACCATGACTGTCAAGAGGTGACAGTCCATGCTGGCCAGGAGGTGGAAAAAGAAGGGCTGTGAAATGCAGGACGTAAAGGAAACCCTGCACTGGCGGGCCAGGAGATAGGCCAGCATTGGAGGGACAGTGACAGTGATGCACCTGATGTCCAGCAAGGACAGATTCCCCAGGAAGAAGTACATGGGGGTGTGGAGTTTGAGCTCCACAAAGATGGCTGCCAGGATGCTGACATTTCCCCTGTCTGTGACCAGGTAGGCCAAGAGGAAGATGGCAAAAAGGACAGGTTGCAGTCTTATGTTCTCTGTCACGCTGAGCAGGATGAACTCAATGACAATTGTCCTGTTCCCCTGGCACCTGGCTCCATAGGCCTCTCCTGATTGCTGTGGAGGGAGGAAAAGACTTCAACCTGCCAAAGGGGTACAGAGGCACACAGTGAAACTTACTTTGTGCCTATTGGATGCTAAAGTTATGTGCTAAGGGCACCAACTCATCAGAATGGCTGCCAGCCCAGAGCTTAGCAAGTTCCTGGAGGCCTCTAGCATGCCAGACATGCACCTGTTAATTGCTGGCTCAGGCTGAGACCCAGGGAATCCAGAGAAGGGACTGGAGGAGAGGAAGCTACTCTGGGATTCCACAACTGTGGCTATTTACTAATATGACATGGAAGTATTTTAGTATTTTAACAACTATTAAGGTCATATCAGTGTATAGTGACTGAATTGCAGCTCAGGCAAGCTCAACGAGTATATGATGTATGAGGCCCTAGAGTGCACAATATAGGAAAACAGCACATAAAGAAGGGTAGGAGGACACATCTCATGAGACAGAGATATGAAAAAGAGCAACAGCTGATTTTTAAAAAGTGGTAAATTGTAGATGTCTTAACATGGTTTCAGACCCAATCACAAGTATTTCCATTGTGAAAGGCAATATACCAAAAAAAAAGAAAAAAAAGAAAAAGAAAAAAGAAAAGAAAGGAAGGAAAAGAAAAAGGAAAAGGAAAAAAAGAAGAAAAAAGAAAAAAGTGATACAAAAGAGAGTGAGCCAAGGGAAGTCCAAGGAGAAGACAACAGTAGAAAAACACACTGAGGCTAATGACAGAGGACTAATGGCATTTTGAGTATTACTCAAAGTATACTAGTATACTAAGAGTATTGTGCCAAGCACACCATGTTTATGTCCTTGTTTAATTCTCACAGAACTCTGTGGGGTAATCACTATTATGGCTTTGTAATCATAACACTAGGTTTGGAAGAGGTAACAAGTAGCCCAAGGTTGTGAAGCTTCTGACAGGGCTCAAACTCAGGGCTGTTGAAACCCCAAGCCTACACCGTAACACAATAATCTCTTCCTTGTGGCTTGAAGCTTCCCATTCCATAGCTGGAGAAGATAAATATCTCCTCTTATCAACTCGTCCCATGAATACAATCTCTCCCTAGGTGCTGGGGGTACCCAGCAAAGTGTAGCATTTTAAATTAGTATAGATGTAACAGGGTGCAGCCAAGGGGGGGGCCCCAAATGGGGATTTGTAATGGGGTCCAGAACTCCTGGTGTCTAGGAAATATTAGAGAAAAATATATATATGATGTCCTCACCTCCACCAGTCTGAGCTGGGGGATTGGACACATGGAGCAGGGCTATTGAGAGCTGTTTTGCATAGGAACAGCTTTGCAGCTAACCTCTGGCATGGTCATTTAACATATCTATAACCTTTAACTGGTTTCATAGATATGTTAAATAGCTGTGGCTATGCTTTGAACCAGGGGGATGGGAGTGACTTCAACTCAGGATGTAACTGAGAAGCAACTCCCCCTGGTTACAGCACCTGCAAGAGCTTGGAGATGATTGGCTCCACCCGATGGGGCTATGCCTGCCCGGACTTACTATGGCAGTCCAGTAAAGCTGGAAGAATACAGGAATGCTGGCAGGTGTAAATGATTGTGGGAGGAGTCGGAAATGGGGCTGCAGAGGAAGATTGGCATGGGGATTTAAACCCAGATGTGGCAGCCTTGACAGGAATCACCATGTAGCTTGGGCAAGAGCTGGAACCACGAGGTCTTGGGTTGCTCCCTTTTGCTATGTGGCTTAGGCAGCAAGAGAGACTTTGCCTGGAAGAAAAGGGGTGAAAGGACTCTTGCTGGTGGACCATGAGAAGGTGCCACATGGCTTTGGATGAACTGGAGATCATGGTGATGACACAGCTGATGGTGTCAGGAGCCTGAATCACAGACTTCTACTTCTTTTCCTGAGATATGGTACCCTAGATTAGGGCAGAGGGAGAAGGAAGGACTGTGTGCATCTGTGGGTATCCTAAAGAACTTTAGTATTTGAATGAAGGCATTAAATCATTACTCTAAGTTTGTATAACTTTTAAATAAATAATTCCTTCCCTTTTCACCAATCTCTGTCATTGAGAGACATCTTTCCTCTGGTGGCGAGCAAAGCAAACCTAGTACAGGAAGGGAACCCCTGGAGGAAAAGGGGAGTCCTTTTGGTAATAATATATTGTTCATTCCCCACAGGTCTGTTCTGTAACATATGGTAATAAGAGAGGGTTTCCTGGAGGTGGTGAAATAAGAGGGACAGCGAGTGACAGGTAACATTTATCAAGCACTTTCTAGCCCAGTTACTCTTTCAATCTACAAGCGTACAAAAATCATATAAGGTAGGTAATAACGCTAAGACCTAATTAGATCTTACTATGTGTCAAGAACCAGCCTAAGTATTTTTTTTTACATGTATTATCTCCTTTAATTCTCAAACAATACCATGAAGTAGATGCTGTTATAATATATATTATAATCCCCATTTTACAAATAGGAAACTGAGGCACAAAGAGGTAATGTGGTAACTCGTTCCAGGTGATGCAGCTAATGAGTGGCAGAGCCATAATTCAATCAAGCAGTCTGGTGTTGGAGTTCATGCTCTTGAACTATTTACTCCTCTGAAAGAGAGTTAAGGCATGATTTGCACAGCTATTAGGTGGTAGAGCTGGAATTTGAGCCAGGGAGTCTGCTCAACAGTGGCAGGGGAATTCAGCAGGAAGACCCCAACTCCTGCCCCCTCCAGTAGAGCCAGTTTGTTGATCTAGGTTATTTGCTCAGGAGAGGGTATTTGTAGGAAGACCTGCCACCTTAGGAAACATCCCTGCAGATGGATCTTCCTAATTTAACATTATGGCAAGTCCAATTTGGGTTCGACATCATAGCAATGCCACAGAACAGTGTCACATAGCAGTGACACACTGTACAGTGACACGAGTTCAGTTTTGCTCTGAGTAGCAGCTGCACCTCTCCATCCTGGATGTGTTTGTCCACATCCCACTTCTGCAGGCATCTCTTACCCTGCTTGTCCTTACAAAGTTCAGTTTATCTCTGGCCCTTGGTTCCAATGTGCCCTTTTCTCCACAAGCCAGGTGCAGCCTCTCCTGTCTGTCCTATCTCATTTTCCTATAGGGGCAACTCAGCACAGTGGAAAGAGTTGTGACATTGGAGTCCGGATGTTTGTGTCTACAACTAACTAGAATTGGAGCCTGAGATAAAGGAAAAAAGAATTTTAAGAAAGACAAAAGAAAGGGAGGGAAAAAGAGGAAGAAAAGGAAGGAAAGAAAATGGACATAGAAAGCTAATATTGCATTGAATGTAAAGTTTTTGTTAGGTATGTTATTCCATTTAACTTTATTATATGTTACTCCATTTAAAGTTTACAAAAATTCTTGAATATAGGTAATCATTTTACATATGAGAAAAGTGAGGCTCAGAAGATTTTACTTGCTCAAGTTCACCGGTGTAAGATTTTAACTGGAAAACTTGTTTTTCTGCCAATCCCTGCTGTCTCCCAAAGTTCTTTCTCTTCTCTTCTTCTCTTCTCTTCTATTCTCTTCTCATCTCATCAAATCTATCCATCTATCTATTCATCTATTTTCCCTCTATAGTATGAAAGGTTGCACTGCATGATCTCTAGATTAACTCAGAGGTACAAGATTCTGTAAGTATTGACTCCTCTACCTCCATCAACCTAAGTAGTCTCCTTGGCTCTCCCAGGCTCTCTTCATTTCCTTTGCTCTTTAACCTAGTGGGTTCCCTTATGACTTCTCTCTAGTTACCAGTTCTGTCCTTCATTCTTTCAGTCACTCATAATGAAAAATCTCACCATTGCATTTCACTGCTAGTCCCTGAATCCAAGTGACACTTAGTCCATTGTTCTCCATCAAGGAGAAAGCCACATGCAGATCATGAGTACTGTGATCCACCCTTACTCAAAAAGAAAGGAAATTGGGAGGCTGAGCAGTGGGAAGGCTCATGGGGATGTACCTTTTTGTGAGCATGCTGGGTAGAGTTCCTGGGTGGGGTTTCTGGTAAACAGGAGAGTGAGTACTATGCTGATCCAAGGTGGCCTGCCTGAGAAAGGCTTATAAAAGGAGTGAGGCAGGAGCCTGGAGAGTGTATCCTGATGCTTTCTCTATCTGGGATCTAACAAGCACCTAGAGGCTCTAAAAATTACCCCCAGGAATTGTACTAGAAGCCCAGGGTAGATGAACAACCTCATTCCTTCCCTAAGGGTTTCTTTCATCTGCCTGGGTTTTTGGACTCTATTAAATAAACATTAGATTCATGGCATCACTCTAGGCTTCTAATGTCTCCAAGAAAGGAGGAAAGATATAGTCACCATATTACAGATGATAAAAATAAGATCCAAAGGACTGAAATGACTTGCCAAGGCCAGAGAGGGGGTCCATGGTGAAGCTCAGGCTGGGCCCCAGATAAGCTGATTCTGGTACTTTTTTTCTCAACAATTTTTCACATTGGGTTTTTTAAGGTATATCTTTTAAAAGTTGGGTTAACTGAGGTATAATTTTAATTGTCACATCCTCTTGATTGATCTCATTCAACACTGTCTACTGCAAAGTCACAAAAATGTTTCTCTTATTTTTAAAAATTTTGTAATTTTAGCTCTTACATTTAGATCTATGATCCATTTCAAGTTATTTTTATAGGGTACAAGGTAATAATAGTTCAGGATATTTGTTTTTTCCATATCGAGATACAGTTGTTTCAGAACCATGTGTTGAAAAGACTATCTATTTTTATTGAGTTAACTTGGTGCCTGTGACAAAATTCAACTGATCATATGTGTATGGGCCTACTTCTAGACTTTATTCTATTCTACTGATCTGTATGATTATTCTTATACCAATGCACCCTGACTTGATTACTGTAGCTCAACAGTAAGTCTTAAAATCAGGTAACTTAAGTCCCTCAAATTTGTTATTCTTTTTCAAAATTATTTTGGCTATTCTATGTTCCTTGCTTTTTTTTCATATAAAATTTAGAACCCACTTCTCAATTTCTATAAATCATATAC